CAGGATGGAAGCCGCTCACTTCACTAATGTGTGTGTGTGTCTGTGTGTGTGTGTGTGTGTGTGTGTGTGTGTGTGTGTGTGTGTGTGTGTGCTGTCCGCGCAGCTATTCATCCAATCGGGTTGGTGTGTGGCTGATGTCTGGCAGCTGATTGGCTGGTTCAGGTGTCAGCTGTCCTGTGCTGAAGCAGGTGCATCATGGGAGCTGTAGTAGTGTCAGTGTGCCTGTGCTGTGTGCTGCAGATAATCAGTTCAGGATGTCCATCCTGGAGCGTCTGGAGCAGATGGAGCGCAGGATGGCAGAGATGTCGGCCCGCGACCTCAACCAGCAGCAGCAGCAGCACAGACAGCAGAGTGGCAGCCAACTGGCCACGCCCCCTCCACCTCCACCTGAGGACCACGAGCAGGTGAGGTGCTGTTACGTCATTGCTTCAGACGGACAGTTTGTTGCTGTTCTGCTGGATATCTTTGATTTCTCTGCTCTGGATTCAGCTGTACCTCCACAACAGCAGGATTCACAGTCAGACGTGTAGCAGCACAGAGCAGACTGACGGTCATACAGAACAAAAAACTGATCTCAACAGAAGCCAAACAGAGCTGAGGCCAGCGGGGCTGCAGAGTCCAAGCCAGGAAAACAGGAAGTGAAGTCACCTCACAGAGACACAAAATCAGTAGATAGGACGGGAAATCTCAGACTCAGAGTCCCTACAAAAAGAGTCAGTGAAAGAACGGCATACAGCTGTTCAAAAGAGACATAAAACCTTTTAAATAACGTCAGTGTGAAGAGGTGTGCAGTCCCCTAAAACGGAAAGAGATTAAGTTATTTAAAAAAATCTACATCTGTATAAAAGAGACAGAAAGGCGTGTTTGACAGAAGAACATGTGTGAAGCTCAGGTGGGCTCCAGGTGGCTGCCAGTGAGAAGAGAACAGGTGAAGCAGAGTGTCAGCTCCCTGTAAAGCAGCTCTGCAGTGACCTGTGCTGAACCTCCACCCCCCCACCACCCCTCTGATGTCATGGGAAGTTGGCAGACGGAGTCGCCGGGTTAAAATAGACTCAGTGTGACAGAGAGAGGAGACTTGACCTTAAATACAACAATTACAGCTGCAGCCAGAGTCCTGTGTAGCCTGTTGTCTGCACACTGCTGTCACCCAGGAAATATCCAGGTCCACATGTAACGATCACTGTTGTCAGCCAGGAAATATCCAGGTCCACATGTAACGATCACTGCTGTTAACCAGGAAATATCCAGGTCCACATGTAACGATCACTGCTGTCAGCCAGGAAATATCCAGGTCCACATGTAACGATCACTGCTGTTAACCAGGAAATATCCAGGTCCACATGTAACGATCACTGCTGTCAGCCAGGAAATATCCAGGTCCGCATGTAACGATCACTGCTGTCAGCCAGGAAATATCCAGGTCCGCATGTAACGATCACTGCAGTCAACCAGGAAATATCCAGGTCCGCATGTAGCAATCCCTGTTGTCACCCAGGACATATCCAGATCCACAATCAGCTGCAGCCATGGAGGGTAAAACGGGTCACATGACCAGCTGGACACGCCCCACCACATTCACACTGAGCAGACATATTCCTGAAAGCAGCACTGATCAAAACCTCAGACTGGAAATGCATCAAATAGAAACTGGATTACAATTTGATTTGATCGAAGTCTGACAGATTGTAGCTTTATTGTGCACCTACGTGTCGGTTAGCGTGTTAGCATGTTAGCTTGCTAACCATGTTGCCTGTCGATTAATCAGAAATGATTGCCCCACAGAGCTGCTATGTGATTGGTCTAAAATGTCGTGTGACTGCTTCTGGTGTGCTGTGTTTAGGTTAGTTAGTTAGTCCAGTTAGCCCAGCTAGCTCAGGTTGGCCCAGCAAGCTCAGGTTAGTCCAGCTAGCTCAGGTTAGCCCAGCTACCTCAGACTAGTCCATTTATTTTAGGCTAGCTCATGTTAGATCAGTTAGCTCAGATTACCCAATTAACCCAGATTAGTCCAACTAGCTCAGGTTAGTCCAGTTAGCTCAGGTCAGTCCAGTTAGCTTATGCTAGTCTATTGAGCTCAGGTTAGCCCAGATTAGTCCAGCCAGCTCAGGTTAGTCCAGTTATCTTAGGTTCACCCAAATAAGCCCAGCTAACTGAGGTTAGCCTTGTTAGCTCATGTTACCCTAGTTAGCCCAGAATTGCCCAGCTAGCTTAGGTTAGCCCAGCTAGCTCAGATTAGTCCAGTTAGTTTAGGTTAGCCCATCTAGCTCAG